TGTGAATAGGATGCGACTGACCAGCAGCCACTCCTTCTGTGAGGATCCCTTAGCACCGGAGGAGTGCAGTGGGACCTGGCTTTAAGGCGTGAGGGCTTCAAAGAATTCCTGACTGAAGTTCAAAAATAAGTCTTGCTCTGTATCTGCCCCAAAGTTCATTCTCAAGATAAACTACACATTTTTTAAGCCCAGTTTCAACCATGTTAGAATAAGAGTTACTTATTTGAAGAGTTTATCTTCACTAACAACTATAAAGCATGATATATTGTATAAATGAGGGTGATTGTTAGAAGTTTTATTATTCCTCTTATGGTATACAATGCAATATAATGTTTAAAATACAAGTGCTTGTATTTAAAAGATCCAACCCTTTTTATGGAACTAGCGGCTAACACTTTCTACCTTTGTATTGCTTTATAATCTTGGTAGGTAAATAATTACTTTTCCTTAAGTAAAATGTACTTAAGTATAAAGAGCTTAAAGTAACAAACACATCCTAGAAGCAATAATCCTAATCAAGGACAAGATGATCTAAAGCCAATTCATATATTTCATACATTTTGGAGGGCAGAGGGGGAATCTTATATCTTGGTCATTGTCCTAATAAAAAACTGCCATGAAATTGTATATCCCATTTTCACTTCCACCAAAGTAACTTTTTTTAAAAAAAAAAAGCAGGAAACTTTTCATGCCTTCAACTTAAATCCACAATTTTCCTTTGGGGTGTACAAGGTCAGGGATACTCTTCCTGGGGAGGAAGTACTTTTGACAAATGACTTCTGCTCAGCAAACAGATCTGGAGTGGGCAGAAGGCGGGTATTCAAAGTTTCAGCAGTAAACTCACAGAGCAAACGCCGTGAATATCACACTCGGTCGCGTGGCCGTGGCATTCACAAGGCTGACAAATCCCTCCAAAGAGTATTCCATCCACGCGGTAATAGCCAGAGAGGCAAGACTGCAAGAGAAGGCAGAGAAACTGTGCTTGTGAATGCAGCTCAGCAGGCTAGGCAAACATCCTCTCTCCACTACCCTAGAAAAGTCAACTTCTCAGTTTTCCATGAGTAGAGAAAGTTGTTCATTCCGTTTTTTAAAACAACTTTATTGAGGTATCATATACACCATAACACTCACCCATTTCAAGTGTACAATTCAATGATGTTTAGTAAATTTACCACGTTGTGCAACCACCACCATAATCCGGTTCCACGTTTGTTTTTAAAGGCAGAAACACGTGCACCAGAACTTCGCGGGAATGCAGTCGGTCAGCACACACCTGAACGGCATCCCACTGCAATGTTCTTAAACTACAATACGGTAACACTCAGCCATTTAATCAGCGTTTCAGTCAAAAGGATTGTTTTTTCTGGAGTTCGTTTCTTTCCCCCTTCATTTAAAATTCATTAAAAATTTTCATTCTACAAATTACGGAAGGGCAGATCTGTGTCAAACCACACCAGTTCAGTTTAGCAAACATTACAGGTGGGCTTTCTATGGGCTGAGCCCTGGACAGGCAATGCGGGCATTCAGGGACGCTCTTCTCTGCCTGGAAGGAGGAGAACCACCCAACACGCAGTGATTCATTTAATCCTCATGACAACCCTGTGACATAGTCTATTTCACAGACGTGGAATCTGGATACAGAGCAATTTAATTCTGCGCACAGAGAACCGAAGGTGTGGTTCAAAGCCAGGTGTACGCACTTCCAAGACCCATGTCCAAAGTAGCCTCGGGCCAAAATGTCTCTAAAAACAGGCCCGGCTTATCTAAAGCTGTCCAACATACGTGCTGGTGATTTGTAAACGTCCATATATAATCAGGCTCAATTCCCCTTAGAAATGCAAAATATGGCATGGGTGTTCATCTTTCCCATAGTCTAAGGCAAGAGGGCAGTCCTCAGTCAGGTTATTTCCAGGTGTCCAGCCCACCCAGCACAGGTATCAGATTTCTTTAAACAATGTGACTTCCAATATTCCCACAAACATTCCAAATGTGCCGATAGCCCAAAAAAGTCTGAACCAAACACTGAGTTTCTAAAATTAAAATTCAAACACGCATCATTACACACTCTCAGTGCATGTTTGCCCCCTTAGACAAGGATAAAAACGAAGAGGATAGTTGGGGAAGAGCAGCTGTACCTCACAAGAGACACCCGAATAGCCCGGGGGACATTCGCAGTGCTCCACATCGGTGGCCAAGGCCAGGTCTATAACGTTAGGGTTTGCCGTGTCCAGAGAGACAGAATCCAGCCTGCAAACAGACAGGACTGGGTATATGACTTACATACTCGCAGATGACACCTAACATCTCAATGAAGACAGATTCTTAAAAGACAGAATTCAAACAAATGGTGACGGGACTTTTGTATAAGTAACTGAAGGTTTTCCCAACAGTAGGTTCTCTGGGAACATGCCTTATTCCCCTTCAACAAGGCCTTCAACATCTGGTACAA